CACACACACAGACACATATACATACACACTCACACAAGCACACATGTGCACACTCACACACATGCATGCACACACACATACACACAGACTAAACAAATGTGAAACAAAGAACTTCTTTGGTAACAAGTTTACCATTTATTAAAGACTATGCCAACCAAATGGCAGCGGTGCTGGTCTTTAATCCTGGCATGGAAGAGGCAGTAGTAGGAGAACCTCTGAGTTCGAGGCCAGCCTGGTCTACAGAGTGAGTTCCAGGACAGCCAGGGCTACACAGAGAAACCCTGTCTTGAAAATAAAAAAATAAATAAATAAATAAAAAAGAATGAAAGCCTGGTTAACTAACTATTTAGTGCTCTCAACTCAGAGCCTCTTTTGAATGCTTTTCAGAACTAATCAATATTTTGATTTTATGTACCAATACTGACAAGGTTGTTTTTCTTAAATTCTTGGTATAAAATGACAAAACTATTTTTAGGGCGATTTGAAATGATGTTGGAAATTTTTTTTAATCACAAGCCACATTTTTAGCAGTTTTGAAAGTCTAAACTGCCGGGCAGTGGTGGCACACCCTTTTAATCTCATCACTTGGGAGGCAGAGGCAGGTGGATTTCTGAGTTCAAGGCCAGCTTGGCCTACAGAGTGAGTTCCAGGACAGCCAGGGCTACACAGAGAAACCCTGTCTCGAAAAACCAAAAAAAAAAAAAAAGAAAGAAAAAAGAAAAGAAAAAGAAAAAGAAAGAAAGAAGGAAAGAAAGATAAAGTTCAGGTTAGCAATGCAAGCGGTAATTTTTAAGTCTAAACACAGTAACAATCCAATCCAATGATATACTGATTTTATATTACATTGAGGAATGATGGTGAGAAAAGTATTTCCTTTCTGTAATTAACCATTACATTTCTCTTTTTAAAGATTGATTTTTGCCGGGCGTTGGTGGCGCACGCCTTTAATCCCAGCACTTGGGAGGCAGAGGCAGGCGGATTTCTGAGTTCGAGGCCAGCCTGGTCTACAGAGTGAGTTCCAGGACAGCCAGGGCTATACAGAGAAACCTTGTCTCGAAAAACCAAAAAAAAAAAGATTGATTTTTACGGGAGATGGAGGGATGGCTCAGCAGTTAAGAGCATTGACTGTTCTTCCAGAGGTCCTGAGTTCAATTCCCAGCAACCACATGGTGGCTCACAACCATCTGTGATGGAATCCGATGCCCTCTTCTGGTGTGTCTGAAAACAGCTACAGTGTCTTCATATAAATTAAATGAATAAATAAAAGAGAGTGTACTCATATACATAAAATAAATACTTTTTAAAGAAGTAAGTATATGAGTTCTTTATTGGCCGGTGACCAAGAATGGGTTCATGCCTCAGAGTTACAAAAGCTCAGCGTTATAATGTTTTTGAAAGCATAGATCATAATTTAGTTCCAAGTTACATGAAGGTCAGAGATACCTTGAAACACTCATTCTGGAAGACCACAGTAATTTTTTTTTATATTATTTCAGACATTAGATGACAGCTATTTTTTTTTTTTACTTATAACTTCATGAGTTAATGTTAAGTTTGTATACATAATAATTATTTTTGATTAATACTTCTGGACCATATACAACATCACGGGAAGCTCTAATGTGTTCTGAGGAAACATTACTGTTGAAGAGATATAAGGCTTGAGGTTCTCACAGGTCATCACCCCTTTGGGGACTTTGAAGGACCCTTTCACAGGGGTCACATATCAGGTATCCTGGATTTCAGATATTGACATTATGGTTCAGTAGCAAAATTATAGTTATGGAGTAGCAACGAAAACAATCTGAGGGCTGGGGGTCACCACAACATTAGGAAGGGTGAGAACCACCGGTCTAAGCAAACACAAAATGAAATCAGGACAAGATGGAGTTACCTTACTCACTGGGTCCTGAACCCAGGACCAGGCAAGCATTCAATCAGCTCAGTTATAATCTGAACCCTCTTTTGCCTTTTGAAACAGTCTTGTTATACAGGCTTGGCAGACTTGCCATCCCTATGTTGCCCAGGACAACTTTGAACTTGCGTTGATTCGCCAGCCTCTGCCTCTGGAGTGCTGGAATCACAGGGGTGGGCCACCACTGTTGAGGTGTGGGCCTTTGCTGTGTAGTGTAATGCTAAGTTTGTGCCCCCAGGATGTGGTTGCCCAGAGATGAGAGAGTCCACAGGTAGATTCTACTGACACTATGTGAACTCACCCTCAGTTATTTATGATTGGTAAACAAAGATGGAGAGTTATGAACGCATGGCCAAGAGGGCTGGACAACTGGAGTCAAGAGTGGCCCAGATGAAACATAGTAAGTAATAACTCAGAATATCTGCCCAGCTGTTTAAGGCTTATTATAAATAGTAAAACCTGGGCTGGTGAGATGGCTCAGTGGTTAAGAGCACTGACTGCTCCTCCAGAGGTCATGAGTTCAAATCCCAGCAACCACATGGTGGCTCACAACCATCTATAATGGGATCTGATGCCCTCTTATGGGTGTCTGAAGACAGCTACAGAATACTTAAATATAATAAATAAATAAAAATTTTTTAAAAAAAAAAAACCTGTGTGTCTTTTATCTGGGAACTAAACTGTCAAAGGCTGAGTAGAAACCGCGGATTGTGTTAAAAGTTCTACAACACACCAAAGCCTCTGTGATTTGGTCCATGCTGGCCCAGTACTTGCTATATAACCCACTGACTTTGAACTGACGGCAAGCTTCCTGCCTCAGCCTCAAGAGTGCAGGGATTACAAGCAAGAACCACCGCCCCCGACGCCAACTGTCTTTTAAAAAGGTTATGACAGGAAAACTTTATCCATTTACCCCCACGTCACAATTTCCATTTGGTCTCCATTTGGTGTGAATCCAAATCCCCTACTGCACAAGTGTTCTCAAAGACTGTCTGTAGTGAACCTTTGCTACTTGAGATTCGCTCCACTTTCGTTTCTCTGAACAGTCTGTACTGCCTGGAAGTTTGAGGGTATCTTCTCCTGGATTAACAAAAGTCAAGGCTGACAGGGCTTCTCTGCTGTCCTTCCACCGGGATCCTCTCTAGATCTCCCAGCAAACCCCACTTTAGAGACAGCACCCCAGGATTAACCCACATGCTAAACTCCTTCTAGGAGGAAGACCCCAGGGCAGCTCATGAATGGGCCAGAGAGAGGCAGAAGCCTAGAGGTGTCTGCAACTTCTGACCTAGCTCATGGGGACCTGCCACCGACCTCCGGTTAGGTGGCACAGTTGTAGAGGGTTCTCATTTCTGCAGAAGTCTTGTGCACTAGCCAAGGCTTTCCTGCCCTTTCTCTGCTAGCCCCGCCTTCCGTGGGAGTGGTCACGGAAGGCTGCTACTTAATGAGGAGGATGACAGGGAACCCCTAGAGCAGCCAGCTACTGGCTTCAGTCTTCATAAATAGTCTGCATCTCTCTCCGATTCTCTTCCTCAGCACCGCCATGGACTGGCCACTGACGCAGATCCTGTCCGCCACTGTGTTGGGGTGTCATGGAGACAGAGAACAGCCTGGATGCAGCCTGCAGGGCCATGTCCGTGCATGCCTTCCTGCAGCGCAGCAACGTGAGATAGACACCGCCTCCGTGTATGCAGATGGTCAGTCCGAGGCCATCCTAGGCGGCCTGGGACTCAGGCTGGGCAGCAGCAGCTGCAAAGATAACGGTCATGCCTGTTATCCACCCGCAATGAGCAGAGTTGATTCCTCCCCAGTACAGCTTCTTCCAGCTCCTGGCACGGTGGTGGCACCTTGTCCACCCAAGAGCTCTGAGAACACAGACTCCGCAGTTTCCACCCTTCTAGTAAAGTGGCCTAGGACCCTGTCCCCACAATAGACCAACTCGGGTTCTGCCAAATTCCATGTGGCAAGCCTGCCTCTGGGACTTTGAGAACACTGGGAATCTCGCACTCTGCAGCCTCTCTCTAAGTAGCAGGTAGGTGCCTCTGAACCCATCATCTGATGGGCTCCCTGTTTTAGGAGTCAGCAGAGCCCCAGCAAACCCCAGCAAGACTTTGGACCAGGCAATAGATCTGTCTTCTTATTGCAGCCTGGCTCAGGGTCTTGGACTTTGCTCCCAAGTTCTGGGTGCCTGTTGGTTTAGTAGTGGCTTCAGCTTTACAGAGGTGTGTCCCCACAACTGACATCTGGAAGTGGGATGATGTAGCCTGTGGGAGTCTCTTCATCCACCACGGCTGGACTAGTAAGGATACCTGGGGGCAAGAAGGGAGCGTGTTCCACACAGTGGTAACAGGCACTGTTGCTTTAAACACTGGGAGTCTGACTTCAAGTCCTTTATTTTAGTTTTTTTTGTTTTTTGTTTTTTTTGTTTTTGGTTTTTTCTTTTGTTTTG